AAATATTAACATGTTTGCAAAAGGCAAAAATCCTCCCTTATATGCTATCGCGTGATTTTATGTGAAATCGTTTCATTCATTTTACTCAGCTCAAATCAAATTATTAGCATACATTAATGCGGCTCTCATTACTGAGTAATTCCTGTGACCGAACAACTGGAAACAGAGGAAGCATATTTTACGTATACTTAACTAACGAGAAATGTGTACGAATACGATTCCCATCCTACGTTTTACGAAATGGTTGCAACGGTTCGTCGCTTATCAATTATGTACACACATAAAATTCAACTGTTAAAAATTTTTTTCAAGACAAAGACAACTTAAAAGAGTACAAACCTTTAACAAGGCCATTATTATTCCACTTGTCCATTACCAAAAATTATTTTAAAAACAATTCCCTGTTCCACGGGGCAAAACGGGTTTGTCGGACCTGAGAACGTGGAAGCTGTAAAAAGCGCGAGAATGAAACATTAGAGGAAGAGAGAAAGCGAAACTTACCGTCTCGTCAGCCTCCTTCGCTCGTGCATCCGCGTTAACCATCGTGCCGTTTGCGCTGCGGTGGATTAACGGATAGTAATCCTCCGCGTCGCTGTTCTCACTGCTGACATTTCCACCAGTGATTTTCTCGTCCGTTAGCTGCACCGTGTACTGATGCGCGTAATGTCTCACCGCCATCCTTCTTGCCGAGTTTCGCTCACTCCCGGTAACATTCACCTAACATTTGATCGCGCACGACGACGATCCACAAGTCGCTCTCGCGTTCGCATCGCGAGAAGCAACGCCGTTATTCGCGCGTCAAGTCGGCCACGATGTTTCCGCGGATGCGGATCAAAGGCTATCGCAGATGGTGAATATAAGTGAATACGATTATTCACACACACACACATATAAGTGAACAATAGCAACTGTCCACTAAAAATCATTTAACAGTTACGTAATGTCAATATTATAATTTCCCACTCGACAATGTAAATGTAGTGCAACACATGTTGCACATAACAGTTACATTAAGTAGGAAATTGTAATATTGACGTTATGTAACTGTTGGCTGGTTTACTGGTTTACTGACATAAATTAAATACTTAATTAACAATTTGCGTTGATAACGTTAATGACAATGTCGTAATGTTAAATTAATGTTGAACGTATCTGCCCCTGATATCGCCTTCAATCAACAAATTTGCATGCTGCTGGATTGGGTGAGCCGAAAAATCACTGCCTTTGGGATAATTTTGATTATCTAATCGTGGAGCGTAACCCGAAGGATTATCGTATCATTTGACATTTCTATTTGGAATACAGCATTCGCAATTTCGATCTAACTCGACGTTATCTTACACGCAGTCACTTAGCGTATCGCGTAGGACAAGTGAATAGAATAACCTGACAAACGAGATTCTAATGGACTCGACGTTACCGGAAATTCACCGTAATCCCGGACACATATACGTACGTCGCCACTAAATTGCAGTCGAAATATCCGGATACATATTTTGAAATAATACGACGGACTTAACTGAGCGGCTATATTTAACTTGTGGCGATTACAGTCTAATTCTGGCGTTGCAGCGTTGCAACCTAGAAACCCGATTTTAGAAGTCTAGTTTAAAGTGGGTTGCAACTTTCTTACTAAAACTTACACTGAATTTTCTCTTAAAATTTATGCTGAGAATTGAAGAAGCTTTTTGAAATTTTATCGTACATTTTACTAGTAATTGTAGATGTGTACGGAATATAATGTATAGTAAAATTTCACGAAACTCATACAGTTCTACGAAATGCCGATGTTGTCCCACGATTACATGATTTTCAGAGTAAGTTTTGAGAAAAAATTCTCTCCGTGTACAAGTATACAAGTATGCATATGATATGAAAGCATACGAAAGCATATAATTACATTGATATAATGTTACAATACAAAGTAAATAATGTAATATTGATATTTAAATATTGTGTATATACTATATTATACATATATAATTATTTGATATCAGTATATTTCTTTTAAATAAACACAGTGAATTTTAACCCTTTGAAGTACGGTGGTAACCCACGTTACCACCTCAACTTCTTTACTTTTTGGCCATTTATAGTTTCTAGTTAACGCATTTAGGTCGGGCTTTTTGCATTTGTTGGGTATCTTAGCAATAAGAGAACATAAAAAGGAAGTTGAGTAGTCTTTAATATTTATTGTAAAAGTTTTATGAATAAAGAAATATGAAAAAAACAGCAATTTTTTCGGAAAAATTCATTACTAAGTTTTTTAAGATTATTTCTTGAAAACTTTGTACAAAGGGGTTTTCGGGGTCGCTCATTACGAATCTGTTAGATTTTCAAAATTCAAAATAGCCGACCTAAAATGGCGCAAAGTGCGTGAATTTTTTAAGTTTTCAAGTTTTTCAGCATTTTTGTTTGATTACGGTATTTATAAACGACTCATCACGTTCACGTCGTTCCCTAGTAGCACAGTGCATTGGATAAACATTGGTTGTATTGGGCCAATGTTTAACCAATGTTTGGCCAATGCACTATGCTACTTGGGTTAGCTATGGGTAGTGCTAAGAATGAGTATAAATTCTAAGAAATTATTAAATTTCAATTTTGCATCCGCCATTTCGCGCGTGCTATTTTTCATATTCTATAAGAATTTTCAACTGAAATTTAGATTCCATGGGTCCTACTAATATCTAAATAATGTTTCTTAAGTTGAATTACAGTTAAATGATGTTATTCTTTTAAGTTTTGAATTTTGCCATCTTGAATCCGCCATTTTAATTATGAAAATCCGATAACGGATTCGTAATCAGCGAACCCAAAAATCCTTGTGTACAACGTTTCACAAAAAAATGGTTTAATAGAAAAATGTATACTTCAAAGGATTAACCTAAATAATATAGTTATATGTATATATTATATTTATATATTTATACCTTCATAAAATAATTATATCAATATATTTTTCTATCCAACATATATTGTTCTATCAAATAAATATTACTTACTCTGAAATATTATTTATACAATGTATACTTCGCCTTTTCTATGCTAAAATACATATATATTTACACATTTGACAGAAATTTATCGGCATACACGTAATATCAACTGTGTTAGTCACTGCATTATGCAATCGTGTATTTACATACGTTCAAATGACACGTCCCATTTCCGAAGATAAGTTTATCATAATTACTGACGGGCAAACTGTCTTATCTGTCATTACGCAGTCGGCGTAATTTAAATACACGTTCTAGGTAGTATTCTCCTTTGCAGCTTATTTCTCTGAGAACTAGGCCGACGACAAAGCGGGCTATGATGATACTGATGTCCGTAATTCCTTGGCGGATTACAACGTCAGTAAAAATTTTAATAATTCAACCGATTTTCGTCCACTCTCGTCCGTCCGAGAACGCGCATTGAAATCGTCGAACTCACGAGTTCTCATGTGCACAAGTGAATTTATGCAAATGCTGCACTCTCTAATCGATAAAACGGACACGCGATATATGAAATTAATCCAAGTATCGATTTCGAGGAACATCACCGCGGGACACGCAAAACTGTGCCGGCAAAGACACTCGGCGATCTTTTAATTTTCACTCTCCCGTGAAATTCCGCACAGAGTCCGTCAAGTCGAGGACTTTCGCGCTAGACGGATACGCATCCGCGCGCATCTCGCGGTATTCACGTGGCTTGCTCTCGCGATTCAGTGAAAGCACAATCTTTCACTGCAGCTCGCGCAATAGTCGGCGTCGCGGAATAGAATTTGCGTTCGCGAAAAACGTTCTGCGGAACTCTATTAACATACGTTTTCGAATCGCGGTACTTCGGGGAGACCGCCAACTTTAACGGAAAGTTTTGTGAACGAAATGTCAAAAAGAAATGGTCGAGTCTAATCTTCGTGTGTGTGTCAATTAGATCGATTTAAATAGTAGTCTCTCACGCATGAGCAAGATATAATTGCTATAATACATCAGAATTTATTATTTTATTGCTAAGTAAGAGATACAGAGTACATTTAGATAATGTACACAACTCTGACAATTTGTGTAGACAAAATTAGAAAGTTATAAATTATCAATTAAAGATGCGTTCGAAAATATATTCACTGCTGCGATGCCTAAACGCGCGAATTTCGGGCAACCTGATTTGTTACAATTTTGAACACTCCTCGTTCAAAAGTTATAGTCCCGGCATTTTTATATTAGGCCTTTTAGCTCAAAATGATCTGAGGAATATGTCATTAAGACGCACAGTCTCAAGCAGCATTAAAACTGTCTTAAAGAGAATAAGACGATTTTGATGCTGTTTTGGTACAGCTGATAACAATGTGACATATTCCCGAAGTATTTTACTAAAAATAGAAATTTTGCTTGTGTTTAAAAATCCGTTTCATAATCCAATCAAAATTTTAGTAAAAATTAAAAAGTGAGGAGTTACTTCACAAAATTTTCAATAAAAAGTAACATATTTTTTTAATTCGCTGAATCATATAATATCTAATATATTTTATAATTTGTTTTATTACTTAATCGCAGCAGTAGGTATACCTTGACGTTCCTTATATTTCACAATGCTACGTTGGATTTCGTGAAAAAAATTATGATTTATCTTGACATGCGTTCAATAATTCTCAACTTTTATTTCACTTTCGACCGATTTCGCAGTGCTTTCGGCAAGATATCTCCGTCGGGGACGTGTTGACGGGCTAAAATCTAGCCCCATTGTACGCGAACAATAGCACTTTTGCCAGGTAACGTGACTGTTACCGTAATTACAATTGCGCGGTTTCGTAACCCATCCTGGCCGATTCGCGAATTAATGATGAGTATGCAGGACGCGCGCCGCAACTTCCGGTCTTAATTCTGACGGTAGAATCTTTGGGGAGTGCAAAGTCGACCTTTATCAGAGCCGATGTCATGCCTCACCGTACCGGTTCGTCGCTTAACTTGTCAAACGATGTTTGTTTTTGTTATTATTTATTTTATTTTGTTCTTTATTATTTTTTTATAATTAGCGACCAACGTTATACTGTGGGTAATGTTCTGCACGGTATTGCGAAACGATGCGAAAATCGGTTCCGCGAGAGATTTTACGAGTTTCCGCCGTGGGTTTTCCCGCGTGCGCGCGTATTCTCGGAACCGGTCCGCGAAACCTTTGGAGCGGCACGCGGCACCGCCGTTTTCCGACTGACAGACGAAGGAGAAAGGATCCGCGCTGAAACGCCTGTGCACGCGGCCATGACACGCTGTTTGACATCGGCTTATCGGCATTACTGCCGCACAGCTGAGCCAATGTCGACCCGGCGAGCGTATGATATAATTTATGTAATACTTGTGACTTACACCATTTTTTTCTAGCCACAACGAAGACTGGAATGTTCATTGAGAATGAATTCAGTACTTCATGCAATTACGCTGCGTTCGAAGCAGGTGCAATCTTATAGCTATTCGGTGTATGTACAATATTTCAATTCTGTTCGGATGTTTATTTCACGAACGTACGATTTTTATTAACAAACTTCTATAGTAATTTTGCATTCACGATTATATAATCACGTTTATCCTGTAAAGGAAAATGGAAGAAGGAAACGTTTATCTGTACAAATATATACAAGGTGTCCCAGAACGTAGCTGTTAATGACAGATTCCTCAAATTATTTTGAGATAAAAATCCTAATATCAAAGTGCCGGGACTGTACCTTCGAATGAAAAGTGTTCAAAGTTGTAACAAATCAAGTTGCCCAAAATTTACGTATTCAGGCATCATAGCAGTGAAAATATTTTAAAACGCATCTTTATTCCCAAAATTGATCATCTATAACTTACTATGTTTACACAAATTGTCAGAGTTATGTATATTATCTAAATGTACTCTGTATCTCTTACTTAGCAAGAAAATAATAAATTCTGATGTAGTATAATACTGATACATATATGTATTGTATAATATATACATATATTATATTGTATATAATAGTTAGGTAATATATGTAATTAATTAATTAACATAAATAAAATGTCACTTATGGTCGTCAGTGATGATTAAAAATTAAAAATGTGAGCTTATTGTCAGCCCAGTTGACAAAGAATCCCCGTACTAATCATATAGGAAATTGGATCTCGGTTAAATTGGTTAGTTTTCACATATGTTGTAGCATATGACCTGCTGAACAAAAAATATAATGGGCTCAAACTTAAATAATGGCTAGTTACTGAGCTACAGCCAGTTAAACATGGAAAATTTCGGCTCCGCGGGTCTTGTTTGGAAATACTTTGAAGCATATTAGGAAAAAATGTTTCAGACAAAAGTTGTTTAGTTCGAAGGGAGACATAAGACGATGCCATTAATTTGACTTTGGATAATCATTTGAAGGTCACATGAGGGTCAATTTCAATTTCTTAAATGGACACCCCCATTTTTCA